AGTGCTGTCTGCTGCTGACACTTTGCGCTTGCCGGCTTTGGCGACGCACGCGCTGCAGATGCGGTGATTCTCGTTGCCTACATCAACCACACTGCCGCAAATGCCGTGCAGTCGCCCGCCACATCCTCCCTGGCAGCCGTGACCATGAGGGTCTTGCGGCGTGGTGTCCTGTAGTTGGCACAGTTCACCTTCCGCACAGGGCATGGTACGCCCCTGTGTAGAGCTGTTCGGGTCTGCAGCAGCACGTGTACCCTATTTCTGTGTGTGGAGTCTATGTTTTCTGCCCTGGGTTGTGCGTGTGTGTGTTTCGCGCGTGCGGAGTACCGGCACTATTGGGGGTGACAGCAGTGCCGAACCGGCACTATATCGGGCATGCTTTAATTAGTGCCGGTCTGGCACTATTGAGAGCTCCGCCTGTGTGCAGAGATTTTACCGGCACTATACCGGGCATCTGGCACTATTCAACCGGCACTAAAAGGGTCCCTCGACTGTACTGGGGAACAGGATCCCAGCCCCTCCCTCGCACTCTTCAAGTGTGCGCTGAGCGACGGTGGTCAACCAGGAGAAGACAAGACGTTAAACAACAACTGCTGCGAGTGAGTGCTCAAGCGACCTGTGGGCCTGCCTCTCTTTATCTCGTTCGTCCTCCATAGCATGGTGGCGTCGTCGGCGTTTAGACTCCACTCCTTTGCGTTGGTGAACCATCGCTCGCGTGTCTCTATTAAGTAATCGATTTCTTCGTCCTGCGCTTGGAGAGAGGGCACTATACCGTTTATTGTTGAGCTCTCTCTTTGTTGCGGGATCTTTCTTTTTTCCGGCTGCGCGAGTGTGCCGGACTTTTAAACATTTCAGGCGAAGTCGCGAGGTTCCTCCCCCCCACGCTTTGCATTTGCACTCACTGTTTGTGGGTACCTCACTCAGGAAGTCAGCATGATGAAGGCGATGTGCGAGCGAAGAGTGACCATCATATTCCTGCGGAGATGTTGGCATACATTAAACGTCGGGAGTCGGAATCTTACCATCCATCCATGTGGTGTGTTTCTGTGTGTTTTTTTGTCCTATTTATTGCTAGGGATTCCACCTAAGGAGTATTATTAACGACCGAAAAATCACTTAACATTTCACGGGAGCGTGTTTTCTTGAACAAATAAAAAAATGAGGCATTTTTCCCCGAAACGTGAAAAGAAGGAGCCGGGATTTTTTGGGGCTTGCTACTACAGTACTTCACGGATCCGTGTTTTTGAAAGAAGCATCGGACAAGCACACCGCGGGCGCTGTAACATCACTGAGAACGCCAGAAAGACCTGGCAGACTCACGTCCAGGTCTGTTGCGGAGATGATGGACAAGCGGCAGAAGCGGCGTTCAGTCCGTTCTTGGTCCAAAACTAGACATTACGTTGTGCTTCCGTCTCCAACTGCTGCTGTTGGTGCTGGGGAATTTTTTTCGATCACACATGGCAAACGCGGAAACAGCAGAATGAGCACAGTAGCAGCACCAAGACCTCCAACGCGCTGTGATTCCTTCGGTTCGGCTGTCTAAATGATCCCATCTCCCGGCGCCGTGCTGCTTCGTGGGTATTGGGTGCTTGGGTGCTGCTCAATAAGGTGTGTGAGAGACGTGTGCCACCTCACCAAAATGCCGTTGGAAAAAATGCGGCGAGATGATCTGTTTGTGCTTGGACACGTCAACATCAATCCACGGCACCACGCAGCAGAAGAGCAACAGGGCCTCATCACGCTAATTCTTTTGGATTGGCCATCTATATGGTGCTGGCCGTCAGCGCGGCTGCCGCCCTATGATTGTTGAGCTCGTCTACCTTTGGGCAGGTGGTGGTCAAAGATGGGAGTCGCAACCGTGAAAAAGGAGCTGGCAACCTGAGGAAATCGTAAGCAACACCCAGGTTGCGACACTGCCTGCGCCTGTATCGCTGAAAACTGAAAACAGCAGGCCGGGTGGATAGGAACTTTCTAAGTGTTGTCCTCCATGTCGGGTGCTGCTCATTGCGCATTTACCGCTGCTCTATGGTGAGCAACACCAAGTCAACCTGTTGTGTGCCGAGCAAAGCGTGTATTAGGGAAGGAAACGTACTTTTTGCGATGGCACAAAGAAGAGAACAANCTACCTTTGGGCAGGTGGTGGTCAAAGATGGGAGTCGCAACCGTGAAAAAGGAGCTGGCAACCTGAGGAAATCGTAAGCAACACCCAGGTTGCGACACTGCCTGCGCCTGTATCGCTGAAAACTGAAAACAGCAGGCCGGGTGGATAGGAACTTTCTAAGTGTTGTCCTCCATGTCGGGTGCTGCTCATTGCGCATTTACCGCTGCTCTATGGTGAGCAACACCAAGTCAACCTGTTGTGTGCCGAGCAAAGCGTGTATTAGGGAAGGAAACGTACTTTTTGCGATGGCACAAAGAAGAGAACAAACAAGCGAAAAAAAGTCGGGTTTTCTTTTCACCGTTCCGTGAAAAATTGCACTACTTTTCCGAAGCGTTAACAGCAGTCTCCCCATTTTTCGTGGTGAGACGTGTACTACACTTTTCAGCGTCTGTAGAGTACTACTTTTCAGTGTATTTTTCGTAGACTACAACCTTCCAGGGTCACACAGGACGGGGTAAACCCAGAACTTTTTTCTTCTTTTCATTTCCTTTCATGCCCCACCTTCCTCCTGCGGTGCGTGCTGAATTTTTATTTTTATCGCGAGAAGGGTCCAGCCGTCCCTTTCCCTCGTCAACGGTGCTAACGTCGAAGTTTGGTACTCACGAGAGCTTGTCAGCTATATTTCGCTGTAACCCGTACATTTCATATTTTTTTCACCCCATGGGGATGCGAACTCACGACCTCTGCGACTAGCGGATTACGAGGATACCACTCAAGGTACTTGCGATACTATTCTACTCCATGCTTGAGGTACAACGCTTAAATTTGGCTCCGTTGGCGTATATACAGTCAAGCATGCGTTGGCCCGCCGTTTGCTCTGCGCTCCCCATCGAACTGAACGTAACAATGCCGAGCGCCTTGCAAAAGTGTTTGGCGTCACCATGCTTGTTCCCCGACAAGCTTAGGGATGGATGTCCCCGACGGGTTAAACATCGGGTTGTAACACCCGGAAGCCGTTACCTAATCGCCGTGAAACGCTCCTCTGGGGTGTGAGTGAGTTTCAACGCGTTGCACGCGAGGCATAAGACAACCGGTTTTCGCCGGGCGGAAGATAAGCGTCCCACAGCCCACATGCAACCACACATCGCCGGAACCGGGAGCGACAGAGAGCAACGGGGGTATGGAGGCCAGATGTCAAACTAACGTGGTGGCTCTGTGCACGTAAGGACCGAACCAACACAACGCAGAAGGGCGAACAGCGAAAAAACGTCCGGCCGGACTTCCGGCTTTGTGCATCGGCAATACAGAGTTGTAGGATCTACGCAGCAGGCTGTGCAGAAACCTTGACTAACGACCAGAACGGTAGGCATTGTCGCTTCTTGGGCAATACTATCCATTGAATTTGCAGCCGACGGCACGGGAAGGCAGGGCACAAGGTCATCAAAATTGATCAAGCACTACTAATATCCCTCTAAACCGTTACGATTTGTTCCATTATGGCCGACTGCCAACCAACCCAACATTTGACGATATACCCGAACGACAAACATCGGCAAGCATAGTTACTGGTCATTGGACTGTTTGGTGCTTCCAAAATAGTCGAAGGGTAGCGCCTCCCTTGCTAGACAACGACTGATATGAAAAATGCGCCAAACCATGGGCGAAATTCGTCTCCAGAGAAGCGCTCTAGTTAGTGGCAGGAGACAAAGGATGGGGTTACGCACACCTACCTGCAGCCCTAATGCGGGTGGATGTTCCAACGGTGCCGGCTCTTCTTGGAATCCGTCTTCCAGAGATGCACCGCTCGTTTTATTTCTCATCTCCATAGATTCTAGACGCCTCATAGGCCCCAAATTGGCGACCGTTTTCGTGACTCCCGAGGCGCGCTCGACTGTTCTGGCCACGGATTTCTTAAAGTTGCGAGGCTTGAGATGTGGTTCTGGCCGGCTGATCGCCACAAAGAAAATGGGCCATAATATCAGGATCAGATCTGCAAAACGGACGAGCGCAGAACCCCAAGGTAGACACATGGAGGTGATTGAGATAGATGAAATACGTACAGGGTTTCCAACAAGAGTTATTGATGGTACAGAACGCATAGCGGGTACCAACTGCAGCAAACTCAGCCTGGTGCAGACCCTGCGCGCTCACCGCTGGCGCTGATGTTTTCTTCGGCTTCACTCACCCCTAAACCCGCCGATGTTTCCAATAATCTCGGCGAATTCGATTGGGTCCAATTCCTTGATGACTTCCAACGAGTCAAACTGTTGCTTGATCTCCATCGACAAACGGGCGTACGGCTTGGCGATGTCAGCGTCCACCTGGGCAGGATCAACCACGAGTGAAAGCGAGGGACAAGCTAAATCCTTCTTCGAAGGGGACGACAAGGAACAGAGGCTCCTTTAGCTCTATATCAAGGTCTTGTGTGGCATGTACCGAGGTATGCGTTGATTGCTTCCACGAACACGCAAAGACCAGTCTTTTGAGTCGCCCGGCATTGCAGCACGAAGCCGACCTACCGTCAGCCGAATTCAAACAGCGCGTGACATATCCTCGATTTTTTTCTATTTCAGGACTACCCTTGGGGGATCCTCTTTGGGAGAGTAGACAAGTCTGGAAAATTCAGCGTTCGCCGCCGACTCGCGATGGAGCGCGAAATGGAGGGCGGCGGCGGTCGAGTCTCACATTATCCTTGACCACCCCGATGTTGGTCGATACAGCCTTGTACGAAGAAATGATGTCCCCGGTATATTTAATCTGGTTGGTGAGGCCAATTCCCTGAACAAAAAACACGCGAGGCGCGCACCCACGGTCAGCGCTGTGAGGAGCGTTCCATCGAAAGGCCACAACATCACACAAAAACACAATAAAAAATGAATAAACGTCCTGCGGTGATGAAACGATGTCAGGTGCACAAAAGCCCCCGTTGGCACACTAGGCTCTCTAGCTGAGGGTTTGAAAGTCCACCATGTGGGGGTTAACTCACCAATGAGTTGAAAACGTGGCTGTTGGACGTGCTCGTGATGCAGGTGTAGGACAACTGCACTGCCGTCGACACCATGGAAGCGTCATTTGGATCGGCCAGGAACGCGTACACCCACTCTCTGCGAGGGGTGTGGGAAGAATGCAGCGACAAGCCGTGGTTAACAAAGAGCGCCTACCGCGCCATGGTCTTACCGCCGATCTCCGCCGCGTCCAAAGGACGTACGTCACTCATCTGACTGTTGGCGTTTCGTGTCATGAGCCTGGCATTTTTCGGTTTTTCTGTTTCATTATCCTGCGCGGGCAGACGGCTTGGGCTTGTTCACCTGTGAGGCTCCCACTCTTCTCCATCGGCCACGCAAGTCGCAGAATCCGTCGTCTCGTTGCCGCTGGGGTACCAATACATCTGCTCCAGTCAAGCAACGGGTGTCATGTGTTTGTCAGTTACCTCGACCGCAGCGATGCTAGAGCGCCTCTAATTTGAAGAGGTGAGATCGACGCGGCCCGAGTATACTTTTCTGCTAGTGGTACACAGCAGTGATGAGACCTGGAGGTTGGCATTCTTGGTTCGCCCCACAGCAGGCGGATCAAACGACCTCCCGCCGATCCGCGTCGGCAATGGGGACGGCCGGTCTCGTGGTGCTTTAGCAGCATCACTTCGATGCCGTTGGCTCCTGTGGCTTCGCAGGTGATGTATTGTGCCGAGTCTAGGTTACAACGTTTTGTTTGTGGGTCGCGCCCCAGTCCGCGTGTTGCTGAACAATGAGGACGAAAATCGAGACCCGAACACCCAAACGTACTGAAACGACGAAACAGTACGGCCTCGAGGAAAGGCCGCAGCCCCATGTCGACCCGAATATCACTGTCTCTGCTGAAGAAAAGCATAAGAAAAGAAGGGGATCCTGGTGTGGGTTCTGCAATGGTTGGTTCACAGCCACAGGTTCTCCGGGGTCACCGCTGCTATGACAACACCATTTGACCTAGGCGTGCGGGGCAAAATGGTCCGCTGGTTTTCCTTGCAGGATGCAGTATGCCCGTTCTAGGCCACACAAAACGACCAAACCACTCACGCCAAACTACCCAAAAGGGGCCATCGTGTGAAAAATATGCGAACGTTTGGCACGTCACCAGTGTCGTTATCTGGTGACTACGAGACATAATGGCAAAGCCTCACGTCCAAGCTGATGTAGTCCAAGTACTCGTTGGGGTTCCTCTCTTGCCCAACAAAAGCGGTGGCAGCCGATGTCTTGAACTCCACACAGAGTCCTCTCCCCTGAAGGATGGGAACGCCAAGGACGACAAGAGACCAAACAAAGGGTATGATAGGTGTTCCAGGTGCCATGCTATGGGAACCCCACCAGCAGGTTCACGACATCGTACGTATACCTACGTACACGGGATATATGTATATATATTTCGCGTGTTCCTGTTGCAACAGAGAGCGCGGAATGAGTTCAGGGGGTCTGGCAACACGGACTCCTCATTGGGTTGTCGAGCTCGAAGGCGTGGGTGGGTGACACCCAGCGCTGGTCACAAGACACGTCCGTTTTGTCCCTAAGTGCATTAGCCCAAATATTTGTATGTTCACACCCAATCGATGACCCATGGCCCTTTCCAACGTGTACGCAACTTCCTAGTCTCGAACTACAGCAAACACATTATACTTCGGCTGGAACGCTTTTCGTGCCTTACTCTCACCTCAGTGCCCGTATCGATCGCGTAAGCCTCGATTTGCAGCTGATCTGTGGCGACTTGGTCGGTCCCGTCGCTGGGGTAGAAAATCGCGTCGGGCACGCCTGCCTCGGTTTCCCACGCGGAATTTACACACCCCAGCTCGAGGGAGGTGTCGTCGCAACCATACTGATTGTATGGGCACACCCAGAGGTCGGGATATTTGTACACCGTGTTCTGTGAGGCAGTGGGACAAAAAGAGGAAAGAGAGGACAACGAAAACATTTCAAAATTAATCCCCGTCATCAAGTGCACACGGCGTGCGCACGGGTTGATGGACGACCCACAACCGTTCAAGGAGAATTGTCAACCACTATATACATGGGGGGCTGATAGCAGTGGTCTTTCGCATCCGGACGTGCTAGCAGGTTGTTCTCCTTGTCCATTCTGTGGCGCCCCTCGATCGACTCGCTTCACGCTTTCGAACGGCACAACTGGATCGCCGGGAGAAAACATTCAAAACTGCGGAATATTCATGTATCTTGTTGTTATGGATCTTGGTATCTTGATCATGCACGCACAAGAATGTCGTGATATCTTCTTTTGTGCATGCCGTCTATCTACAACTAGTGAGTGGTGTGTCATGCCTGCGGCTGGGAGAACCCCAGCATTGTTATGCCATTAAATTTGGACGACCTCTACTAGAAAACAGATAGAATCGCTGCCCGGTATTGGTTTTCTGCATCACACAGTTGCATATCCCGTGGTACAAAACGTGCGGTAGTGTTCCTTGTCGTTGTTGAATCTTTATATTTGAGGTGTGTGTGCGTGTATCTGTGCTTGGGTAGCTTGCAGCCTATTTGTCGAGCTACTCCAATCTCCAAAAAGAACTCAAACCGCTGGCGGCTTTGAGCGGCTTGAGGTTGTCGTCCTTCAGGGTAGGGTCGGTGACTTGCCTGCCATACCGCTTGCTGAAAAAGTGTTTGCAATAACATACAGAACATTGCGCCGGCTTGAGTACGTCGACGCGTATTCAGAGACTACAGGGAAGCTTTGCCAGGGTGAAAAGGATTTTAGCACGCGAAATTGATCATGACACATGTTACAGCTGCATCTGAAGCAGACCCAGGTGCAACCCCCAAGGCTTCGACAATAATCGGAGATGTCTAGGCTAAGGATCATTGGGTTGCTTGATGTGGTGACACAGAGAGAACACAACGGGTGTACCGTGAGAAAGAGCATGCACGGAAGGGAAACACCTGCCACATCAGTTGGAAGATAAGACGGGATTTGGAGAATCCGAGAGATCATCTCCACCGCTCAGAGCGGAAAACTGCAGCCTACCAAAACAAGCTTAGCTCGTTGGTCTCGGACTTCATACGACCAGTGACATAACGAAATTATGGAGATTTCATCTACAGTAGGCACAAAATGAGGAATCTGGGTTCTTCGAAAACGTGTGGCGATGTTCGGTGCCGCCTGTACCCAGAACCCGCGTCTCTTGACAGGTATTCCGGAGCGTTTCCATATTCCGATCAGCGCACGGAACGTTTTCACGGCTTGGCCAAACTGCAACATGTTTCCACCTTTGAGTATTCGCGTCCGGATCAGACCCTGAACACGCAGGAACAGAGGATTACAAACACTTCCGAACGCCACCCGCACGCGTCGCGCACCCAACTACGACATCAGCGCGCATCGGCCATCATTCATGGCCAAAAAGGCATAGAACAGGACCGCCCCTACGGCTCGCTTCACCCGCCGTTGCCAATGTCCTATCGCATCCATTATCGACAATTATCTATGCAACACTAGCTCTTGGTTGCAAAAATGTTGCCCCACCGTTCCTCCTGCGTTCCAAAGCATTACAGTTTGTTTTTCCACGGGAAGGGTTCAGCCGTCCCTTTCCCTCGCCGAACCGTGAAGTCGTCAACCGCATATTACACTATACTCACAAACACAACAACTCGCAACCATCGTGGTGACATAGGCTGTTGTCAAGCGGAAATGACGTGCCACGGAACAAGGAAAACTGGGATCTACGAAGGTCATGGCTGACTGGGTCAGCACCGAATCTGGTCTCACCGACAGTTCGACAGATGTGTTCGGAGACTTCGTTCGCTCCACTACTTTGTACAGGAGACAGGCGGTATCTGCGAAGAGGCACGCCAGAAGAGTTGCCGTGAGAAAGGTTGCTTGTGGGCCACAGCACGAACATGCCGAAGTGCCGATACGTAGAACAAGCGATGTTGCTGTCGCTGACAACGAGAGATAGGCGCGGTGGGCCTAAGCATCGAGCGAGATGAAAACGTGACATTTATGCCATTTGCTTAAAAGCTGAAGTTGAGTAGCTGGGTTTCGTCTCTTTGAGCAGCTTCAAGTGTTAAGCTCCAACCTCGTACGAAAAATGGCGTTCGCTGCAACGGCCAGCACCCTAAATTTGCCTATGGTTTCGAACTGGTTCGCAGCGCCACCGTGCCGGCGATAACGATGCGAGCCGCTAATTTAAAATGATGAATTAAAGATTCCATATTTTGAGTGAGGCCGCCCGTGGGTCAATAAATTGGAGTCGTCGGCTCTACACCGAAACCACTATTTTCTCATCGAAGGGGAGACAGAGAGGAGGGGGAGGGCGGGTGGTGATCGAGAGTGGCATCCAGGTCTACCGTCTTCTTGAACCTATTGCGTATGCAGCGTATGCGGGCAAGCTCGAAATTCGCCGTATCATAGGCGCGCTCACATATGAGAATTGACATGTGCAGTGCCATCCACAACATGCGAGCCCGCCGCCTGTGTTGTGCAATTACCTCGTCCGGCGCCCTGAGTTGGTGGTGGTGATGATCGGGAAAACGGTGATGAGCAGGGCGTGGTGCAGACGAGAGAGGCACGGGGGTGAGACAGGAAAAACAGGCAAAGCGAGAAGGCACACCAAGCCAAGCATAAGACCCGAAATTCGATTTGACGGGCGGGGGGGGAAGATGCCCATCGCTTTGGTGGGGACTTGCATGGTCCAAATGAGTGCATAGCCAGCGCGAAACGGGACGGAGGACGGGATGCAGGGTGATGTGATGATGATGCCCACACGGGTGAAGGACTTTTTTACATGGACACGAGATATATCGTAAGTACAAGGTAGGGACGAGAAACGTGAGCAGCAACCCAGGCTGAGTACGGGCGATCCAAGGATAGCTTCGTCAGTTCTGTCAAGTGAACGGGACTAAAAAAGAACATTTACTTGCCCAAAAATCGACAACTGTGGGGGGGATATTCATACAGAAATCTCCAGGTGTTATGCTGAGGCTTTCTCTCTGAGGCAGGGCACGTAGTGGATATCCTCCAGGTTGAATGCTGAGGAATTGTTGCGGGGGTTGCGGTTGCTTTCGTGCTTTTGTCTTTTTTCGTAGCATCAACCAACCGTGCAAACCGGCTGATAGAAAGAAGCTTGGTGCGACTAAAAGCAGAAAGAGATTCGAAGGGCATGATCTGGGAGCGCGTCGTGGGAGAAATTTAGGCTATTCTCCGAGTTGAAGACAGAAACGAAAGCAGATGTGCAAGCATACGTGTATATCATCTGGGCCTGGAGACCGTCGAGAGGTGGCGAGAATCACCGCGCGAACCCCAGGCTTATCTTCGGAAGCGTCTCTTGCACACATGCCTATCAACCTTCTGGAGCAGCCAGTCTCTACACTGTAGTCGTCTCAAGGTGTATATCTGTGGGTACCTCCAGGCATCGACTCTTCGGCGCTGGCAAGGTCGTAAGGTGAGAAAAATGTTTTGTCGAAGCAACACAAGAATGAAGAGCAAACAATCACCGAAAGGCTCGTATTTTTTCTGTGATTCATGAAAACTTTCGAAAATCCTCCCCCCGGTCGCTGGAAACGGAGGGTCTACAGGGATTGAAGGAGAAGATATCTATTGCTTGTGCCGAGAGAGAAGAACAGAATCCAAGGAAAGAAACCAAGGATAAGAAGGGTCTAGAAGTGTACGGAGTGTTGAAAGAAGGAATAGGGTTCAAGGATTACCTACATGGACCAATGGATGCAAGGACAAAGCTTAAGGTCATATTCAGGACCGGGGACGTAGGCCTTTGAGAACGTTGACGAAGACATAGGACGGTAGACGACAAAGATGACAAATTCAAATGTGATTGCGGCTTCGAATGCAAAGACCGTGTTCATGTAGTCGCGGAATGTCGGCTGTACAATAAGGAGAGGGACGTGTACATGACTGAGCTGGAAAGAATGCAAGGGAGGTACAGGGATATGTTTGAGGCATGGGATAGAGAGGAGAGGACGGTAGCTGCACTGGGGAGTAGGAAGTGGTTTGAAAAGACGGAAATTGATATCGTTAGGATAGACAGACTAGGGAAGACATTTTTGAGCCACCTTTGGCAAAGCAGGAAGGAACCATTGGCCATCGGTGATCGGTCCTGTGGGAACAATGCTCCGTCCTCTCGAGGACGCGTGGTCAATGGTCTAACCGCTAAGACATGCTAAAGAAAAGAGTACGCCCCCCCTCCTCCGCCGGCCGGGGGCCTTGGGGGAAATGGTGGAACCCTGCATCATTTTGTCTTGATCCTGAATAGCTACAGAACAAAGGCAACGTTATCGTTTAGTGTCTGTTTCGCGCATTGATTACTTTTCTATGCATGTTTTCCGTGTTTCCTTTTTGATTCTTCAGTGCTGTTGTACTGAACGCGGTACCTCGTGTTTTGGGCCAGGTTCAGTTCTTATTTTTTCTCAAGCGGTACCCCACGGTGACTACAGACTAGGTTTCCGTGTAGGCTTCTTGGCTGGGCACCTGTTCTTATGTATAAGGCCAAGATCCTAGATTTGCGATTATTGAGGCTCAAGTCTTGACCGCTAAGTTCTATGTGCGTGGCGCGCTCTGCAGTTCGTGTGCCCTTATCGGGGGTCTACTGAGACCACGGAAGGCGCGCGGTGCCATTGGACCGATACGGCTGTTGGAAAGCACGGATCGGAGACAGGGAACGGTTGTTGTACTGTAGACACTCCTTGGACACTCCACATGCTTCTTTCGCCGTTCGCGTGGTTGAGCTTTCTTCGGCTCCCTACTACAGTTTGATTTCGTCGGTCCTTATTTTGGGTCATGACCCCCTGGTTTTCGTTGTCGAAACGATTGGTTTCTTGCCATTTTGGGTACGTCGTAGCGCTATTGCGTTCTTAGGATTTCTGTGGGGTTACAATAGCTTATACGGGCCCGCCGTGAGTGTTTTTGTCGCTTCTAGTCGTTTCGACGGCACCGACTGCTTCGTCCTTCTTATCGCTCTGTCGATACAATTGGTTATCGCCGTTCCGACGGTGTTTTTTCATGTGTTTTGTTCCTTTCTTTGGGGTCCAACCTGGTATGGTATTTGTAGCATTGACATTTTATTTTGCTACAGTGCCGGCCCGCGCTTATCAACCTCCTATATTGGGCGAGGCTCAGTTCTTACTGGCTGCCCCAACCCGAGCACCAGTTCTTATTTGCCAAGTTCTTATTTCGTCGCCCATTCTTCTCCGGAAAGGGGCGTTCTTGTTCTTACAGTATTTAACACCATTTGCTATATTGTCGGCTGTCAACCATGAGCAACACTAGTACTGCTGTCGATACAAGTAAAANAGCACCAGTTCTTATTTGCCAAGTTCTTATTTCGTCGCCCATTCTTCTCCGGAAAGGGGCGTTCTTGTTCTTACAGTATTTAACACCATTTGCTATATTGTCGGCTGTCAACCATGAGCAACACTAGTACTGCTGTCGATACAAGTAAAAACCAAGGCATGGAGCAGCAACTGTCGACCTTCTTGGTCCACAAGGGTGACGTTGGTCCTGCGTACCCTTCCTGATCTACTTATGCTCTCAAGCAAAACCCAGGAGCCTACAGCCGCATCCGAATCTCGACTGTACTTGTCCAAGGGCAACTTTATCTTGCGCGTACTCTGGTCTAGCTCCAGCTGCACACAGTAGTCGTACACGTGGCGAGTGTCCTTCTGAGATTGTTGAGTGATCAGCCCTCCAAACCACCCCATGCCCAGCCTAACGAGCACTCCACGCCGCAAAAGCAATCTGTCAAGAGCAACGGGATTAGCTTCTTGAATACGAAAGCCTGCCGGGATCTCCATTCCCTGTATCTCATCCTCCGGGTCTTGTGGGTCCATGCTGTCGTCGTCGTCCACAAGAGCTAGCTCGTCGGTCTGGGGTTGAGAGATGTCTGCGAACGAGGCAACGGGAAACACAAGAAGTTAGGGTGTCACGTCGCCAAACTCAACCTGAAGTTTTCATAGTTTGAGTGTAGCCGTGGGCGGAAACAAGCTAACGTCAACATGAAGGACATCGTCATCAACAAAAAGAAGATGAAGAGTTGGTTTTGTGCAAAACAAACTTACCGCCGTTGTCTTCATCGCTTGAGTCTACGCCCTCCATGAGCGTCTCACGTCCTCCATCGCCCTCCTCCGCCCGCCCCTCAGGCTCATCGTTGCCGTTCTCCGAACCTTGTTCGTCGTCGCTACTGTCTTCATCGTTAGCGAAGGTATACGGCTTGTCCAAACCCTCCAAGGTGAGTCGATCATCGCCCGAGCCGTCCACGGTCATGGCCATCCCGCACTTTTCGAAAAGACGGTATCTGTACGCCATCTGGCTGTTGAGTCTTGCCATGGCCGCTCCCATCCACTGAGTGATCAGGACGCGCCGATCAGAAGCTATCAGCGACGCGGTTTCCCACCTCTCGAGGTTGTCCGACTGCTCGAGCCATATGTCCATCTGCCTCCCGACTT